GACAGCAAGGCAGTTGCCCTTGTGGGGTGGGTCCCCATAATCCCATCAGAGGTTCCAGAGGGGGCCCCAATGGGACTAAAGGGCTGAAGTCATTGTTCTTGGTCCAGCTTAGGGGGTTCAGGGGGATGTCCCTTTATTCTGCTCAAGTGCTCTGTGCTCAAGCTCTGGCCAGTGCCCCTTCCCATGCCCAATCTCTGCCCCAGGCTCCCAGGAGGCCCCTCCTGGGGCTAAGACTTGCTCTCTTCACCCCCGCCTGAGCTTCAGAGAAGTAATTTCTCTTCAACCAGCTGGATTTGAATATGGAAACGATTTGTAATTACACCAAGTCCTCCTGGGCGGCCTTATTACCAGAGTGAGTCTGGAAGGGCAGGAGCTCATGGGAAAGGAGGTGGGGAAACCCTGATGCGGAGAGGTGCCTCCAGGGAGAGCCTTCCAGAGGTCAGCCTAGTCTCGCTTGCTCACTCCTGTACAACCCCGGGGAGGTCCTGCTGTCCCCACACAGCTCCCACAGCCCCCTTTGCCTTGCTGACCTCCCCACCTTGCCCCTAGTGAGCCCCCAGGTATGGGACACCATCTCTGTCAGTCCCTCACTCTGTCTTCCTATCTTTCCTTGGGCGTACATTTTTGTGGCTGATGAAAGGGGTCAAGAAGTCAGAGGGCTACCGAGGAACAGAGAGAGACAAAAAATGCTGCTGTCCATCTGGAGCCAGTCCCTCCCATCACCTCTCACCCAACTGCATCCTGGGGAAGAAGGAGGGGGTCCTCAGGGATCCAGCTGCATCACATCTGCAAGAGACCTGCCTGGGTTTCTCTGGGCTCCAGGTCTCTAATATGCTAATAGTCATGAATATTCATAGAGAGGGAAGCAAGCTCCCTGTGGGAGAGGAGGGGGCTGGAGCTTTGGACAGGGTCCTGGAGATTTCTAAGGGGCTTGCATCCTTGTGGGCAATCCATGTCTGCACCATTTTCCCCACTTTTGCCCACCTCCTTGAAGCCCCAGTCTCAGCTACCTCATTGCCCCTCCCAATGCCCATGTAAGGAGGGGGTCCAGATTTCTCACTGCCCTGGGGTGGCTTTCAACACACTTTGCAGCTGGCAAGGCCTGCCTGGCCTGGCTTTCACATAGCAGCTGAGCCTTGAAACCCAGAGATGTCTGAGTGTGTTTGAGGGTGCCCAGCAAACCCTAGGAGCCTCGCTTGCCAGTGCTAGGCCCAAGGCATGGGTCTCCTTGGGCATCCGCAGGGAAAGGGAAGGTGCCGGCCCAGCCCTCCTCCCTGCCTCATAAGGCCTCATAAATTCTCTTAAGGTGACAGGTGATATTCCTTCGTCGCCCCTTATTACCTCCTTCCATTAAAGTCGATAATCTCTCACAATCACTCACAACAAATGTCACTGAGGCTGCTGGAGGTGGGAGGGACAGAAGGAGGGAAAAGAGGGTGGTTCTCTGCCTCTTCTTGGTACTGCCCCTGGGAAGAGGTAGGCTTTTCTCTTCTTGCCCCATCTCGAGGGCGACACAACTCAAGGAGCATCCATGGAGAGGTGGGGTTGTTATTTGCTGGAATGAGGACTTCTTTGCCCTGAAAATTTGGCCCTTCCTGGCCAGTGAACCTTCAAAGAGTATGGTCCTGAAACCATCCCATCCTCATTGCAAAGCTGAAACCATCCCACCCTTATTGCAAAGCTGCCCCCTGCTGGTTTCTCCTCTGACCAAAGTCGTGGGATTAACCTACTTGTGTTGGCTGCAGCGGTATATTAGCCTACCTTACTGAGGGCAACATGCTCAGGCCACAAACCCCCTGACTGGGGCCCTGAGCCATGGGCATCTCCCTGTGTACCGCCTGAACCACGAGGGCTCAGGCCCCACCCAACTGTTTCTGGGCACAGTGCCAAGATGGGGAAGGGGTGGGTCTGTACATCTCTGCTGCTTCTACACAAGCAGATGCAACATGGGGGCGCCCCTGGCACAGGGAAAGGCACTTGTGGGAATAGACAGGGACTCAGGAAAACATGTAACACACTGCACACGTGTAGCATCCCCGTGCCTAAGGACGTGCAACATTGCAGTTTAAGTATGCATCAAACATGTCACATTGCAGTATACATATGTGGCTGCTACATATGAGTTACCCACAGTCCTCAGCACACATGTGGCACCTGTAAGCTTGCATACATATAGCATCCCTGCGCACAGGAACAAGCAACATGCATTCAGGACTTGGGCACATGTTAATACACCGTGCATGTGTGTAGCACTTGCATGCACCTACCCAGGCAACATGGTAGTGCACACTTAGGGCACCTGTATGCATATGCAAAGTTCAGTGCACATGACTGGCACCTGCATGCACAGGGGCATGCAATATGCAATGCACATGGGAAGGTGAGCAAATGCTTCAGCCCGCAGGGTCCAGGAGACCCTGGCGGCGCGACAAGACTCCGGCATGGGTATAGCTGGAGGGGCGTCGCGGATCGCCTCATTCTGCGGTCCAGGAGGCAGCGGGCGGGGCGGGGGCTTACCCAGGGCTTCTCCCGCGCCGGCGCCTGGGGCCCAAAGCGGGGAGGTGGGGGGCGCGATCGGCTCGGCTGGCGCTGTTCCCCCTTTAACAGGAGGCGGCGCGCGTCGCCCCCGCCCCCCGCCCCTTCTCCCGCGGCTCCTCGCGCCCGGCCCGGCGCGCGCCCCCTCCCGGGCCCGGCCCGCGCAGGCGCCGCGTCCCGCCTCGGCCGTCACTCGGCCTGGCGCGCGCTGCGGGCAGCGGCCGGAGCGGCCGGAGGAACCGGGTTCGGCGGCAGCGGCGGCGGCGCTCAGAGACCGAGGAGGATGCGGCACCGGCTCTCAGAGCTCGGGGCTGCGGCCGCCGCCCGCAAATAGGAGGCGGCGCGCGGCGCGGGCGGTGCTCGGGGCGGGGGAGCGGGGGGCGGCGCGGCAAGGAGGCGGCGGCGGCGGCGGCGGCGGCGGCAGCAGCCCGCGCCCGGCCCGGCGCCCGCCCGCCCGCCCCGCGCTGCTCCACGGAGCCTTTTCTGCACCCGCTGCCCGGGAGAGCGGGAGCCTCGGCCCTCCGCGCGGCTGCAGCTACCTGCCCTGCGCCCGGCCCGGTCCCCGACTTAGGGATGGCAAACTTGCGCCCCGTGGCCGCCCCCGCCAGCGCCGGCCCCCGCTCCTGCTGCTGACGGCGCCCAGGTGAGTGCTCGGCCCCAGACCCCGACCTGGCCTCGCACCGAGCCCTCCCGGCGCGGTCCCGAGTTTCCGCACCGGCCCGGACTCAGGGCGCTCTCCCAACCCGTCTCTGCTGAATTCTCCCCCAGCCCGAACTGAGTTCGTTCAGCGTTCGCCCACCCCCATCTTCTGGGGGACTCCCAAACCTGGGGCCGAGGCCCCCTTAATCGCTGGTGAATCTCTAATCTCGGCCCCCCTTCCCCCAGCCTGGACCGACCCTCTTACCCATCTATGCTAAAGTCTCCCCTTCCAGAATTCTGACACAGACCGTGGTTGCTGTCTCGAGTCTTTCCCTATCTCGGCCTGGATCCGGGCGGTGCGCCCCCCACCTTTATTAGAGGCCCCCCCACATTAACCTGCAGCTCAACTGTGTCTCCCCCTCCATCTCCCATCACAGTCTGAATGCCGGACGCTGCTCCTCTCCTCCACTTCATCTCTGCCCAGAGTGTTTCCTGTCCCCATCCATGTCTGCCCATAGTTTCTACCCTCCCCCGCGCCCGTACCCTGACCATGCTTCTTCTCTATTTCTGCCCCTAGTGCCCCCTCCCCCATATCTGCCCAGAGTCCCGCCTTCCCTCGCCAATCTTGCTGCAAGTCCCCTCCCCCCAGCTTGAAATTGGGGCCGTGTCCCCCGTGTCTGCTCCGCGCCCCCTCCCCTCCAGCTGAGATCCCGACTGGACCCGCATCCCTGACTCCTGTGTCCATCTTTGGCCGGAGTCTATCTGTCCATCCCCCATCCCTATCCTCCCACCCCTGGTCATAGAGCTGGGCACCAGACGCACCCTCCCGCAGCCCCAGGGCCGGCATGATCCGGAGGGGGTTGTAAGCTGTGAAGTTGGCGGCCACTCCCGCAGTCAGCTCGGTCTGAGGGCACAGCCGGGGGAAGTCCTCCGCGCCACGGCCCGCGCAGAGCGGGCGACGGGTCTGTTGCCCGCGGGGGGGAGGGGCGCCCGGGCCGAGAGATGCCGCCTGCCTGCCCGCCTCGCCAGCTGCCGGCCGGGCCCCTGGGCGTCCTCTGGCGCCCCCTGCCCGAAGCCTGGGACCCGCCACCCCTTCTCCCGTGGGCAACCCCGGGTTTCCGCAGCCAGAGCATCAGCGGTGGCTGCAGGACTGACGCTGGGAAGTCCCTGGGGAGAGGAGATTGGTGGGCCAGGCCAGGTGCCTCCTTGTGCTAGCCATGCCCAAACACTGCTGGTTGTCAGGCCATATGTTCTGGGGGGTGGGATGGGTTGGGGTGGAGTGGAGGGCTCACCCCAGCAGCAAGTCAAGAGTCCTTTGAGCCTTCACGCACAGACCAGCAGGATTGGCCGCGGGCTCCAGGACGCCTGGTTGGGCTTGTTTGTGCTTGGTCAGGTGTTGCCAGGGAGCCTCTACCCCATGGCATTTCCCATGAGGTAAGGGCTGGCTGGGGGCAAAGGTGGGCTGTGCCTGGCTTGTGCATGGAGTCGGTTGTGGGGGAATCCACCTGACCCTGGGACAGAGCAAGCACCTGGGGAGTATCCTCTGCACTGCTACTGGGGTGAGGGGCAGTGTGGACTCTGTGCAGGATATGTCCTGGTGATGGTACTGGGGAGGTTAGGGAGGGTCTTCTCTGGACCAAGATTGAGACAAGAGATCTTCCCCTCTTCTTCCCTCTCTCCTCCTTCCGCTCTCTCTTCTGCCCCCTTTCTGTATCACTCTTCAAAAGGACATGTCTAGTCTGGGGTGTGCGTGCGTGGTCTGCATTTCTGTAACACAAAGTGAGGTTCCATCTGGTCTCTGCCCCCATCCCTCCCTCCCTCCCCACCCCCAGGTAATGAAGCTGAGTAAGTAGTTAGGAACTCAGCTTTCAGTCAGACAACCTATGTTCAAAAGCTGTGTGACATGGGCAAGCTACTTAATCTTTCTGAGCCTCAGTTGACCCTCTATAAAATGGGTCATTGATCACTGCCTCATATAGCTGTTGGGAGAATGAAGTTAGGTTGTTTGTATAGAGTGTCTGGCACCTAGCAATGTTCAATAATGATAGGGGTGTGGGGCTGTTTCTGTTCAAGGCCAAGGTCAGGCCCCTCTCCACTCCACTCCTAATCCCAAAAGAGAAAAATGAAAAATAGGTTCCAGTGCCTTCACTCCAACCCCCAGTATAATAAAGACAGAAACACCTTTAGCCCCCAGTCCCCTCTTCCCCCACAAAGTATGGGTGCAGGGGGAGCCAGTGACTGTCAGTTTCCCTCATCTCCTCCTTGGTCCTGCAACTTCCCACTATATTTCTCTGGAATCAGCTGTGGCCAGAGGGATATTAGTGAAAGCCAGGCCAAGGTCTCTGGGGTCTTGGTTCAAGTGTAGAGGCTGCAGAGGTGGGAGAAGTAAGAGAAGAAACCCTAGTCAGAGTCCCAGAAGGCAGGCAGCCTGTTAGGGGTAGCCAGGTGGGAAATCACTCAGCCATAGAAGAGCCTCTCCCCTCCCCCAGGAGGTCAGACACCGTCAGGAATTTCCCAGGGCCCTTCGCCTCGGGTCAGAGTTAGCAGGGCCACCGGGCCTGAGGGCCTGAGGAGTTTGAAGAAACCTGGCTTTGGCCTGAGTGGCTTGGGGGAAGAGAAGGTGGCGCGGAGGAAGGGGACTCGAACCTGTGATGGCTGGAAGTCCTCTGGGCAGTGTGGCCGGACCTGGGTCCCACTGGGGAGTGGCAGCCTCCTCGTCACCCGCCTGCCCCGGCAGCCCTGACATTGGGGAACAAAAGCATTCGGTTCCTGTAGCAACGGTGGCTCCAGCTGCTGCAAAGTTCCGGGGAGGCGGGCGGAGGGCGGCTGAGTCACCGCCCCCTCCCTCCGCCGCCCGCTCGGCACCGCCCCCAGGGGCTGAGGGCTGCCCCTTGTCCCCCTCCCGGTTCTGCCCGCGTTTTTCTGCTCAAGGAGGAACCCCCTCCCCCAAGAGAGCGACCCTCTCTGGCAGTTGGAGCGGCAGGGCTGCACAGAGGGGGTCGCGCCCTCCCCTCGGCCCAGTCCCCCAGCTCCGGAGGCAGGATGGAGGGTGTGCGCCCCCCGGGGCGACAGAGCTCTGGGAGAGCAGCTCCTGAGGACCCTGTCCTCGGGTCCGAGCACTGGCAGAGGACCCGAAGGCATCGAGTGGGGGTCCCCGCCTGCGTGGCGGCCTGGGCAGGGCCAGCGGCGAGCGCCCGGGAGGCGGAGGGTGAGTGACGGGCAGGCGAATTGGAGCTGCCAGGTGGATAAACTCGACGGATGTGCGCATCGCCGCGCCCCCTCCCCCGGCTCGCCCCTCCCCCGCCACCCAGCGTCAAATGGGAGTCATCCCGGGAATCCCCGACCGGCCCTGGCCCTGAGACACCCCTCTCTTGCTGCTCTGCCCCTTACCCCACAGTCTTGCCTTGGCCCTTTCAGCTGCCGAAAGCCTTGAATTCCTTTATTGGTGCAGAAGGGAAGCTGGGGAGCCCTGAGGGGTTGAAAGAAAGGGGATTGAGTGCGTTTGGGCAGAGTGGGATTCTTGGGCTTGCTGGGGTCAGGGGCATGTGGTGAAGGCAGCCCCCAGCCCCCTAGAGGAGGGGTCTTGGGTAGGGTTAAAAGTGAGAGGGAGACTACTCCAGTCAGCTCCTCACCCATCTCTCAGGGAGGAGGCCTTTTGATCCTCCTATCAGCCACCTCTGGCCCAGGAAGTTCTTCCTCAGAGCTGACCTTAGTACCTCTCCTCTCTAACTCTTGTGCAGGGATTGGTCTGTGGTCTTCCTGGGTTTGGAGGTAGCCAAGCCACTTAGGGTTCAACCCAAAGAGCCTTCCCAGAGGCAGTGCCCTGTACCTCAGCAGGCAAGAGGATAGCGTTTATGAGGTCCTGAATAGACAGAGAAGAGACAGGGCTGTGGGCCAGGCTCTGTGTTGGGAACTTGTTGGGAGGCTGATGAGGTGTCTGCCATCCTGAGGGCAAGGCTCACGGTCTGCATTGCACAGAGAGGGAAACTGAGGCTCAGGGAGGTTAATCATGACTAAGAGCCACTTGGGCTGCCTGTGGAGACAAGGATCATCCTTCTAGGTCCCCTTCCCGGGGTGGCTCAGGGAGAGGCCTCTGGGTTGTCAGTGCTCCCAGGAGGACAGGCCTGGCTACACACAGGCAGGAGGGTCTTTAATGAACCAGTGGCTGCCTGTGACCCAGCTTGGAATTGGGTCTTTGCCTTATTTTGAATGATGGGGAGTGATATAAAAAGGTGCCCCGAAAGGTCTTATGCCGCAGCCGACACAGTGAGGGTCGCGCATGTCCAGGATGAAATCCCAGAATGAGCGTGAAGGTGTCTGAAGGAGACTGAGGGGAGGGGGGGTTTGGGTTGGGTTAAAAGTGGCTCCGTTCTGGAGAAGCCAGCCTGTGGCTGTGAAGGATGTGGACCTTGTGCTTCTTGATGGGGCGGGGCTGTGGAGTAGGGAGCAGCAGCCCAGGAGCGGGGTAGGGGAGGGAGCCCCAGCTTCAGACACGCAAAGGAAGGCCCCGCAGAGGATCCTGCCTGACACTTAGCTGTCATATGCCGAGCCTCAGAGGGCCAGATACTCATGTATGTTCTCACTTGAGAATGCGTGTGCACCTCTGTGCATGTGTACACGTGTGAGCCTCTACACCCCTGTGTGTGTGTGTTCACTCCTGAGTGCACATGACAGCATGAATCTGTGGGTTTCACCTGTCTGTCTGCATGTCCGTGTGCATATGTATCCGTTCGTATGCAGAACTCCTGTGAACGTCTGTGCACTCATGCTTTGGTGTGTCCTCAGGGCACAAGGGTGTTCAAACCCACATGTGTTGGTGTGTGTGTGAGGGGAGGTTCCCTGAGCTGCTGTAAGTGGGGGAGGGGAGGCCGGCTATAATGAGCCCCCACCTCCCCTCCACTGAGCAGCAGCCATGGCCTGAATTTTGCAGCCTGCTTAAAAATAATTGGGGGCAGCAGGGGGATTGGATGTCACTCATCATCAGCCGCTGGCTTTGCTAGTGCTGCAGCAGGTGGGGCGGGCTGAGCAGTTTGGGACAGGCATGATGTAGGGTGGGAAAGACCAGAGGTCTCATCCCTTTTTCAGCTCTAAGGAGGAGGGTGGGTGGGTGGGGGCAGAGGCACAGCCTGTCTGGCTTCTGCCGAATAACTCCATGCGGGTCTTGGGAGGAGGGTGAGGTGGCTCCTTTGCAGTGAGTAGGTCTTCCTGGAGCTACTCCACCATCTCCCCCAGCCCCTGTATGACCGGGAGGGGCAGATGCTTGCTTGGGCCTGGCTTGGAGGTATAGCACGAGGGGATGTGGCATCTGGGGCAGTGGGGAGCTCCATGGCTGCTGCACAGGGACTGGAAAGTTAGGGTTCTAAATCCTGTCCCCCCTCTGCCCAGTGTTGATACTCCTAAAGACCCAAGGGGAAGTCTGTTCCCTGGGAGCAACTGTGTCTTGGGAAAATCTAGCCGTACCTGTGAATTGTCCTGTGTTTCTGATTCAGTCCCCAGAGCTAATAGCTGCTCCATCTGGCCTGAAGCCTGAGCAGCAAGCACAGGGAAGGAGCAGAGGCTACTGGTGGAATAAGAAGGGCCTGGGCTGGGCCTCAGATCCTGGGCTTGAGTCCCCTCTGGCCACCTTTGTGTGATCTGGAGCGGGTTGTCTCCCTTTTCCTAGCCCCATCTTTTCTCCTCTGATGTGGACCAACTGGGCTCTAGGGGCCCGTGCAGTGCTGTGAGCGATCCTGTGGCATGGAGGAGGGAGGCCGTGTGGATTACTTGGGGGGTAGGATTGGAAGTGGGGCTGATTCAGACCACGCACTAGGTTCCATTTTCTGGGTAGTTGGATAGAGGCTGGGCAGGCTGTGGGCAGTGACACAGCCCTGGCCTGAGGGGTGGGAGGGCACCTGCAGCTCTCCCCATCCTCAGCCCTTACCCACTCTGGCCTGACTGCTCTGTGTGTCTGTAGGGGTAGGGCTTGGGTCCTAGGTGCCCACCCACACCTGGAGTACATTCACACCTGTTGGGAGCTCAGCTTGGTGCAGCACTTTAAGGGAAGGTAGAAATCAACAAGTTCGGGTCCCCACTCTTAGGAACTGGAAGACCCATGAGCTGAATGAGCGAGTCTTAGGGAAATAGTATAGGAGAGAGGTCGCGACTGGCTGGTGGCTTCACAGGGCAGGGGGTAGCAGGCCCTGAACCAGACCTTGGAAGATAATCCCATGGAGCTGGAGGGAAAGCGGGAAGTAAGAGGGGGAATTTCTGCTCCCATTTTACGGACGAGAAAACTGAGGTTCATGAGGGTCACCCAGCCAGCAGGCAGCTGGCTGGGTTGGGGCTCAAGCCCAAAGTCCCCTTGCTTGGTGCCTCTCCCCCTTGTTCCAACCAGGAAATCCACGGCAGTGATACACATGACATCCACACTGACAGTGCGCTCCTGTGGGCATGGCTCAGGTTGTGCACAGTTCCTGGCACACTGGCTGTAACTCCGCCCCTTTCTCTCCCTCTCAGTAAAGCAAGTGAGAATGACATTGTTCCAGGAATAACCTCAAATTGCTCTTAATTTATAAAAAAGCAAATCGTAGTCAAACATCACCGCTTTGACAATTACCGCAGGTTACGTGTGACATGCCTCACAGCTGATCATGACACACTGGGACTGAGAGCAACAGTTATGGAGAATACAGGTTGGATGGTGGGGCTGGGGCTTGGATCTGAATGTCAGGCAAATATGCTTGTAGTTGATGGGCTGACTCTGAGGAAACAGAACAATGGCAACAACAGCTACTATTTCTTCAGGGTTCACAAGATTCCAGGCACTCTCCCAAGTCCTTTCCCTTACTTATCTCATTTTACCCTTGTAGGAAACCTGTGAGATAGGTACTATCATTGGTCCATTTTACAGGTAAGGAAACTGAGGCTCAGAGAGGTCAAGTCCCTTGTCTAAGTTCACACAGGTGGACCTGGGTGACACTCCTCGAAAGACCATGGTCTTAACTATGAGGCCCACTCCACAGCTCACCATAGGAGGTTCAGAGCCCATGCTGGCTGTGCTGGGGGCCCACTGACCACTGTCTCTCTCCACAGGGCAAGGGACATAGGATGACCCCAGCCTGTCCCCTCTTACTGTCTGTGATTCTGTCCCTGCGCCTGGCCGCCGCCTTCGACCCCGCCCCCAGTGCCTGCTCTGCCCTGGCCTCAGGTGTGCTCTACGGGGCCTTCTCGCTGCAGGACCTCTTTCCTACCATCGCCTCGGGCTGCTCCTGGACCCTGGAGAACCCTGACCCCACCAAGTACTCCCTCTACCTGCGCTTCAACCGCCAGGAGCAGGTGTGCGCACACTTTGCCCCCCGCCTGCTGCCCCTGGACCACTACCTGGTCAACTTTACCTGCCTGCGGCCTAGCTCCGAGGAGGCAGTGGCCCAGGCGGAGTCAGAGGTGGGGCGGCCAGAGGAGGAGGAGGCGGAGGCGGCAGCGGGGTTGGAGCTGTGCAGCGGCTCGGGCCCCTTTACGTTCCTGCACTTCGACAAGAACTTTGTGCAGCTGTGCCTGTCGGCTGAGCCCTCCGAGGCCCCGCGCCTGCTGGCGCCTGCTGCCCTAGCCTTCCGCTTTGTCGAGGTCTTGCTCATCAACAACAACAACTCCAGCCAGTTCACCTGTGGTGTGCTCTGCCGCTGGAGTGAGGAGTGTGGCCGCGCTGCCGGCAGGGCCTGCGGCTTTGCTCAGCCAGGCTGCAGCTGCCCTGGAGAGGCGGGGGCCGGCTCTGCCACCACCACATCTCCAGGCCCTCCTGCTGCCCACACCCTGTCCAATGCCCTGGTGCCCGGGGGCCCAGCCCCACCTGCTGAGGCCGATTTGCACTCGGGGAGCAGCAATGATCTATTCACAACCGAGATGAGATATGGTGAGTCTGAGCAGGGCCTGGGTGGGGCGGGGTCTGCAGGGGCTGACAGTGTCCTTGGTGTCCATCCTGGCAGATCCTCGGCCATGCATGTAGCTGTTCACTGATGTCACCCTTCTGCTGAGCCTTGACCAAATGTTGCAGTCACCAAAATGCATGGCAGTGAGACCTCACTCTTGAAGAGTTTGCAGACTGGCTAGAAGAATGGGGGCACAGATCAGATAATGCAGGGTGATATATAAACCCAGGGAGGGACCTCCTAACTGGGCAGGCAGGAGAGGCTCCCTGAAGGAAGTAATGCAGGAACAGAGACCTGAAGGACAAGCAGAAGTGAGATGAGGGCATTGTAAGCAGAGGAAGAAGCGTGCACAAAGGCCCAAGGCTGGGAGTGATCGTGGCAGGCCCTGGTGCTGCAAGTTGACAAGTTTGCCTGGAGGCTGGAGTAGGCAGGGAACAGGGATGCATTCCTGTCCACACAGGTCAGTGAGTTTTGGCAGTTGCCCCAGGGTCAGGGCAGAGAGAGGCAAGGAAGAGTGTGCCTAGGTGAAGAGGCCTGAGCTTCCAGGC